GGCCCAGGGGCTTTGTGAACCTTGATCTCTCTGGTCTCAAAGAAGAGGGAGATGACAGCAATGACGATTTATTAACATTGACCTCTGGGCCAAACAACCCCATTCCGTCTCTCTCTCTCTCTCCCACTTTCTCTCTCTCCCTCTTTCTCTCCAGAATGTCTCTCCCTCTCTGGCTCTGCACTCCCCAAGGCCCAGCACACCGTAGCTCCCACAAGGGGAATGAAGGGAAGCTGAGCTGCTGCTTAGGGGTACACTGCTGCTCAAGGGGTGTGCTATTGCTCAGGGGGTACGCTGCTGCTCTGAGGGTGCACAGTCACTCAGAGGGTGCACTGCTGCTAGGGGTGCACTGCAGCTCAGGGGATGTGGTACTGCTCAGGGGGTGGGCTGCCACTCAGGGGACATGCTGGAGCTAAGGGGGTGGGTGGGCTGCTGCTCAGGGGGTGCGCTGCCGCTCTTTCAGTTAGAAGAGCGTGGAAGAGAGCAGTGGAGAAACTTCTCTGGGGAGAGTGCCGTGGGGCCGTGGTGTGCGAGTCTGTGCACCCTGACCTGGACTGCAACCTCCACCCCAGCTCCAGAGGTGCTCCAAGAGGCCTGAGGAGACCTGCTCCACACTCCCCACGCTTGGGTGGGACACACCAGCTCTGGCTTCTGCCCGAGTGGTGAAAGATGAGCAATTGCTCTGGGGACCAGGAGTGTCGTCCAGGCTGAGCCAGGTCAGGCTGCTCCAGGGAAATAGCTCCGTTCTCAGAGGGGCATTGCAGCCCCAGGCTCCCCCTGGCACCCGGTGACCTGCAAAGCCAGGGCATCTTGGAGCAGCCAGACCCTCTCTCCGTGGGGAGTGGGGAGTGGGGACCAGGAGCAGGCGGCCGCTGCTGGACTCCCAGTGGGCTGAAAGGGGGGTGCAGAGGGCCACCCGGGAGCTGGTTGAGAGGTGTCGCCGGGTTCCAGGGAACTCAAGGAGCCTGGGAGCCTCTGAAGAGCCACAGGAGAAATGGTCAGCTTTGAAGAAGAGCCGACCTAGAGGGCAAGGCCAGTCCCTGCCTGTTCCCATTCAGTTTCTCTGCACCAGCGATGTCCCACTCGCTTCTGAAGCCTTGCCTGGCGCTGCCAACCCAGGAGAAGGGAGGATTCCACAGGAGGCTGGCGCGAGTGTCCTCCAGGGCAGAGGCAGCACCCGGGTGGCTAAGGGTTAGGAGCTGCTCCCCACGTTCATCCACAGCTTGCACACACACACACACACACACTCATACACACACTCACACATTGGACCCAATCAGGGATACAAAAATAAGACCTCAACTCTGCACATAAAATCTTATTTTTTGGAGGAATCGGGTGCATCCTTACAACATGTTGTGCCAATTGCCAGGAAAGCCCTTTGAGCGAAGTGCCCGAGGCCCTGGGCAGACAGAGGCTGGGCTCAGAAGGTCCTGCACAGGGTGCCCAGGTCAGAGATTTTCTGTCGCATGAACTATTCTGAACAGCACTGAAGACAATGCTTCCACGTCATTTTAAAGAGTGCGGAAAGACCCCTGGTCTTGAGAACACCAGAGCCTGCATCCGCACACTTCCCAAGTCCCCAGGGCAGGCAGAGCTGGACTGTCTGATCATGGGTGAAGGAGCGTGCCCCTCACAAGGTCACCAGAGCTCTTTCCCGGGACCTCTTCAGACACACGCCCAGGGACAGAATCAGGAAGCCAGGAACTGGGGTCTGGACTTCCACCAAGCTCAACCTCACACCACCCAGGCACACACTGCTGCCCCTCAGCCCTTCCGTAGAGATGGCAGAGTTTCTGGCCATCTGCCCCTGGGCCTCCTCCCTAGGTCTGGGAGGCTGCTCAGTCCAGCCCAGACAGGCTCCGGCCGATGTGACAGGCAGGTCTCCCGCTCTGGTTTCCAGTCCTTCTCCTGGTTCTCCCCCGGCATCTGCCCTATTTCTGGCCTCTGAGAAGCTTGATGAGAAACGTCTATTCTTTCCTTTTGTGGCTGGATGCCTCTTCCTGGGGTTAAACTGTCCCTGTCCTTCAACTGTTATTTCAAGCAGGGATTTGGGACCTCCCAGTCACCCTGTCCTGTCTTGGGAACTTGTCAGGTGCTCTTTCTAATGAAGTCAACATTAAACTGAGAGATGCAAAAGCCAAGTGAGCAGCAGAATGATTGCAGAAGAAGGTTGGAGGTGGCAGATGCAAAGGCCCAGTGGCAGAGGCCTGCTGGTGCTTTATAGGAACAGTCAGGAGCACAACGGCTGCAGAAGTAGGAACCAGCAGGGAGCAGCTAGAAGAGAGGTGGAGAGGCTGTCAGAAGGGAGGCTGGGCAGGGCGTAGAAGAAGGTAAGGACCTGGCATAGAATTTCAAGTAATGACAGATTTAGTTTTTAAAGACATCGCAGTGCGGGCTGAGAGGAGGCAGAGATGACACAGACACTACCGAGGAGGTAAACACTGGTCTGTGTGCCTTGACTCTTGGAGTGCTCTGGTTCATAGACGAAGGCCACCGTCCCTGCAGGGAGCCCTCCAGGAGGGGAAATCGCAGGCAGAGATGGGACAGTCGAAACCCCAAAGGCTAAGGCTGCTGTCCTCCTTGTTACCCTGTGCCAGACCCTCTTCTGGACGCCATGTGTGTTTCGGCTGATTCATCCTCACCACCAGCCTGTGAGGTGAGGCTTTCGTAAGGAATAAGTCCCTGTTTTCCAGCCAGGGAGACTGAGATTCAGAAAAGTAATGACGCACCCACAGGCAGAGATGGTGCAGCTGGGAAGAGATCTCCAGCCTCCAGCTGCCGCCGTCATTGTGCACAGAGCTGCCCAGATGTGCCGTCCCATCGGGGCACGGGGTCTATTCCCAGGCTGTGGCAGTGCCCTCCTGGAGACAAGCCCCATCCCATCAGAGTGGAAGGAATAAAAGGGCAAAGTCGCTCTGAGCAGGGCTTAGAATTGATCTGCCAGGCCATGGGGAGCCGTGGACAGCCCCACAGTCCCCTTCAGCCATTGGCACGACATTGACAGTGGAGATAAAGAGATTGGTGTCCTTGATCTCCAAGACCGTGAAGAGTTCTCCTCGCCCAGGTCTAAGTGAGCAGACAAGTCCTTGGAGAACTGTGGGCTAATTGGTATTAGGGACGGGTTTGGAGGACAAGCTCAAGTGCTCATGACCTTGAGGACTGCCCATCGGACATGTCCGTGGCTCTGAGTGTAAATTGGAGCTTCTATGCCTTGCTTGGAATTTAGTGAGAAATAAATTGACATAGTTTAACTCAGTAGATGAAAGGTAGTGTCCTGCCTCAAAGGCATTTGCTTTTGGGAAAGTTCTAGGGCAGAGCCCAGTGGTCTCAGAGTCCTGATGGGTTCCTGTCCCTGCTGCCTCTTTCCAGTTAGGCAGGGTTGCAGGCTCCTTCTGACATAGGTCCGTGGAAGGGCAGGGGGTGAGGAGAAGGCTGAGAGACCAGAGCTGGAATCTGTTCTGGCTCTGACTCTGACCTTGGTGGAGGTACACAACCTCTCAGAGCCTCTGGGTCTCCATCTGGACACAGGGATAAAGGAGCAGAGTGGCCCTAGAGTTGGGGCAAGGATTGGAGGGCCGAGCACTGTCCAAGGAGGTGGCTCCGAGGCAGCCTGCTGGATGTGCAGATGTGCTTGGCACTGGGTGTGCTTGGCCACTGACCTCTGGGGACACCCGATTTTGAAATGAGTTCCCTCTTGGTTCTACTCTATAGCAGAAGGCCCAGGTGTGTCCCAGGGCCACAGGGCTGGTGCTCTGAGCAGAGGGATTTGGTGCCTATTGACCCTGGATCTTCTGCCTGTTGCTGGGGTATCTCTAAAGGGAGGTGCTGCAGACTCCGGGGCCGAGCCAGTGGGAAGGAGAGCACCGGCTGGACTCAGCCCTCCTTGGAGTCCAGCCGAGGCACCCAGGAGGAGAAAGCCATCTTCTGACTGTCCCAGGGTCTGCCACAGGTCATCAAATATCAGAGCTGTGGCGACCTGTCAGGGCTCTGCCCGGGTCCCCAGGGACCTGCCCTTCCGGGCATGCTGGCTCTTGTGCCTCTGCTTGCTTTCAAGAGCACCTTCTCACGCAGAGCCCTGTGGGAGGGCTGCCCCAGGTAGCAGCTGCTCCTCTGTGCAGAGACAAATCAAGGGAACAGCCTTAATCTGAGAGACACAGGTGAGTGGTTTCTCCAGCTCTGTGGCTTCTAGTCAGGACAGGTCTCAAGGCTGCCCTGCACAGCGGAGCCACAGGGCCCTACAGGGGATTTTGCTGACCTCACCACCTCCCTAGCCTCCTCCCTCCCCCACCCCATGCTTTAGGAGAGGTCCCTCTCACATCTGCCACCTCAGGTCTGCTCCAGGGGACCCCTCCTAAGACAGGATGGAATCCAGATGAGAAAGTCTTGAGCACTTACCACATACCAGGGACTGAGTTAGGAGGTTTTTCTTTCTTTTTAAATACATTATTTTGCTAAGCAAAATAAGCCAATTCCAAAAGGCTAAAGGCCAAATGTTTTCTGTAATATGCAGATGCTAATTCACAATGGGGGGCGGGGGGGGGGGTGGGCTCTAGAGAAGAATAGAGTTACCTTAGATTAGGGGGAGGGAAGTAATGGGAGGGGAAGGAGGGAGATGTGGAGATAGGAAGGACAGTAGAATGAAACAGACATTTATGTGTACATGTGACTGCATGACCAATGTGATTCTACAACAGGTACACTCAGAAAAATGAGAAATTAGATCCCATCTAGATATGATATTCCAGAGGGTATGAATGCAGTCTACTGTCATGTATAACTAATTAAAACAAGATTTTTAAAAATAATAAAATACATTATTTCACTTAATCCTTGTAATTAACATTTGGGAAGTATCAGTGGAAAGGAAACTGAGATCAGAGATGTCTCAGCCTACCCAGATCACATAGTGTCTCAGCCCGGCAACCCCACGCTACCCCCCAACTCTCCCTCTTCCCCTGGAGAATCGGGGGAGCAGGGACACACACAGCAGAGCTTTCCTCTCTACTGAATGTTGAAGGTTATTTTATTTGTTAAAATGTTTCTGTTTTAGAAAAGAAAGTGGAAACCCCAGTCCTCCGTCTCCTCCACGGGCTAGTGATGAAGACTGAATCCAATGATGAACCGCCAGGACTCAGCACCAAGCTGGGCACACAGCAAACCTGCAGGAAGTGTTCGCAAAGAGGATTATATATTTATAAAACGTGCTCACAATGTTTGTGCTCTTGCTATAAATATGCCATCTATAATTTAAGAAAGCAAATAATTTATATGTTTCCAGTAGATACAAATACTCTCAAAGTCTAGTTAGTAGAAATAAATCCTGGAAGCACCCATGCATGCATTATTTCTATGTATCTATTTAGAGGGCGAAGACACGGATGACCTGTGTGGATGTGTGGCCCCGCAGTCATTTGGGGGTTTCTGGGATGAGTCTCTTAAGGAAATTTGAGATGACCTGGATTGTCCCCAGCCCCACTGCCATCCTACCCCAGCTTTCCCCCTGGAGGCCTCCACCTGCGCATTTATCAGGGAGGTCAGGGGACCTGGCTGGCCATTCCCAGCACAGCACAGCCTGTACCAACCCCACCCACCCTGCAGCTCCACTGCCCACTCACCCGTTGCATAAAACACACCTGGAAAGACCTGGTGTGTGCCAGGTCCTGTGACGAATGCGGGGACGGTCACAGCAGAGAAACAACAACATTGAAACTTAGAATATCCAGTCCCCATCAGGAAGGAGGGGCCATTAACCAACTAACTGAACAAATAATGTATTCGACCAACTGTGACAACTCTATGAATGCTCTCGAACAAAACTGCCCCTGTCATCCAGGAAGACAGGTTTCTCTGAACAAGGGACATTTGAGATGACATCCAAACAACCAACAGGTGTTAGTCAACAAAGTGAGAAAATATTCAAGTGGAGAAAACCACGAAGCTCTGATGCTAAGATAAGAAGGAGCAGGGAATGTTCAAGATCGTGCACCAGTGACCAGAGAACAGGGAGAATGGTCAAGATAAGGCTGGAGAGGGTCAAGGTCAAATTCCATCTCGGTAACCCCTCCTCTGTGAAATAATAGCTGATCTGGGGAGATTAATGTGACCTGATGGCTAAAATGCAAGGTGGGCTCCTGGGTCAGATCCTGGAGAGAAAGAGGAGATTTGGGAAGGGGGGCAGACTTGAGCCAGCGGCTCAGCTGGCCTCACCCCTCTAGAGAGCCAGTCATCTCAGCAGTAACGAGTCCCTAGCTGGGCCAGGGCACTGTGGGCCCATGAGACGTCAGCAGGAAGGCAGCAGGGCCCAGGACATATAGGAGCCCGAGGCTGCCTTCGTGAGTCTTTGGTAAATATAAAATAGTTTCTGAACTAAAAATAATAATTCAGGCTCTCTCTTGTGCCTGAATTAGGAGACCTGGGCTTTCTAAGAGAAGCCATTGCTTTTGACCTACTTCTGGCTCTTGGGGTGCTCAGATGGGGGCCAGGCCCTGCCCCAGCAGCCTGTAGAAGCCTGTAGAAGAAACCACTTTCCTCTGCAAAGCCCTGAACATACCCTGCTGATGCCTGTAACTCACTTACTTGTCTTGGGGTGGGGACCTGATGCCATCTGGAAATCTGTGTCAAGCTCTTTTTAATAGATATGCGAGGAAGATCAGGCACACTGTGGAAATTAAAGTTGGGGAAACTCCGTCTACCCACAGAGGCCAGAAAGGGCATCCGAGAGAAGGGCCTGTTTGCACTGGCTTTTGCAGAATGAATAAGAGCTTGTTGAGTAGAGAAGAGGAGAAGCGGGGCTCCTAACCAAGGAACCAGGGTATGGAGTGCAGAGACCTGAAGAAACATGCTGTGTCCGGGAGATGGCTGTGGGGAGTGTGGCTAGAGATGAAGCTGGGTAGGAGACAGGCTGCAGCCCTCCATGGAAGGGAGAGGCAAATCGCGGCAAAGCCGAGACCTGCAGAGAAGGGTCGGAAGCAGAGGCTGATGGGCGCCAGAGAGATAATCAGCTCAGCAGGTGCAGGAGCAAATGAGGACACGCCCAGGCCTTTACGCTTGAGCCCGGACAGGTACTCCCAGACACAGGATGGACCAGCCAGCTCCTATCATGGAAAGGTTGACTAACCAGAGTCTGCCATCTCTCCCTACAGCTAGCTGACAGAGGGAACTCTCATTCATATGTGATCAAATACGAGACAGAAATCCCAGGGGGATAATCGCATCTGCCCAGGGAGAGGCGTCCGGCATCCCTCCTGGCCAGCCTGAAGACATCCATGTCTCTCCCCACACACAACAGCTGAGGAAGGGCCAAGATTGGGGCTCCATCTCTGGAATCCCCTTTCAGGGGAGCTTGAGCCCCACCCTCTGTCCTGGCCATCTGTGCCTTGCCTAAAAAGAGTGCTTTGGACCTCACAGGTGCCCGAGCAAGGGAAGGAAATGACCATGAAGAACAGGGGATGGTGTCCTCACATCTGCTCCCACACACTCCCCAGGAATAACAGCATGGAGCAGAGGACGCCCTCCACCTGCCGTGGGCGGAGGCCCAGAGGCCAGCCTGGGGCTGGAGTCACTTCCCATGCCTCCCGAGGCTGCAGATGCTTTTGCCCTGCCCGGCTGGGCTGGGCACTGGGTGCCTGGGACTGGAGCAGGGGCCACCATCCCATCAAGCTGGAGAAGGACACCAGCTTCCATCCCAGGGCTTCCCACGGCTCCAGGGGTCAAGACCAGGGAGCCCCTGCCCCTTCTGCCTGCTCCCAGGTCTAGGACTTAGGGCCGCAAGACATTTGAGTCACAAATCCTTACCCACCCCAACTCCCTCCTACTCCCCTCCAAATACAATTCACTAATTGACACTTTGGCCTTGTGAACAAATATTAATAAGTTATGTCCCCATCCCCAGTTCTGCTTTTATCCCACCTTGAAAAATAAATCCAATTCAGAATATGGAACAGCTTATTAAAAACATAAACTCAGTCTGGATCCTATGTGTTTGAAATAAAAGGTGTTTTTTAATCAAAAGGAATTTCTAATTTACTTCAGGGCTCAGCTCGCTGACCTGTTTAAAATGCCACTTGCTTAAGTGACATGGGCTGGCTCCTGGCAGAGAAGCAAGCAGCCATCTCCGTGGCTGAGCCGGCTCCTCGCCTAAGATCTCAGTCTTCAAGGACTCCCAGACTGAGGAACCACACGGGCCAGTCACACATCACCCGACAGTGATGAGGGCCATCAGAGAGGCAAGCAGTGGCCAGGGAGGAAAGGTGGCGGGGAAATGTGGTCCTCCAGGAGGGAGGGTGCTTCCCAGAGAGGAGGCGTTCTGACTCAAACCATCCAAGTCTCTTTCTGGTGCTGGGGGTTTATTACATCAACTCAACTTGGCTTAACAAAAATGGATTCTATTGGGCCATATAAACACAGTAAGGAAGTAGAAATTCTGGTTTTAGGGACCTAGGTGAGTTGGCACAAGGAAAGGACCATGCAAAGGTCCTGAGGCACGTCTCTCAGGCTCCAGGCTTGGCTTTGCTCTGACCAAGCTTCAGCCTCAGGCACACTTACTTCCCTGGAACTGGTAAGAAGACCTCCTGTGGCTGGGGGCCCACATCTACCAGCCCCCCCGCCCCGTTCCAGAGGGGAAAGAAGCTTCCTCCCAGTAGCCCCAGGAAGAGAGTCCTGAGCTGAGCGCATTGGCCTGCCTGGGTCTGTGTCTCCCTGGGCCATTCCCAGCCTCCCAGAAGCTGCTGCCTAGGCAGGTGTGGGCCATGTGCCCATCACTGTTGTCAGAGGACAAGGAAGAGGACACATAAGCCTTGGCGAGCAGACGCTGAATCAGGACGGAAAGGGCAGAGCTCCCTGTAAATGAGGAATTCACACGTGGGGAGGCACAGGAAGTGCAAGTCGGGGGGTGGGGGGTGGGGGAGCAGCCCAGGATGAGGTGTGTTTCTGGGAGAGGGAGGTGGGCTGCAGAGAAGGACTTGAAGGAGACAGCACCAGGCAGATGCTGCGCTGCCAGGGGCGGAGCCCAGTGACTCTGGAGCAGTCCACCAGTCCAGGGAGGCAGTGGCCAGGGCCAGAGGCAGTGAGGGCTTGACAGAGTGGGGGAGCAGCAATGGTCCTCACTTGACCCCAGCGAGCCAAGGGGAGGAGAGTGTGTCAGAGGAGGAGGGCTGTTGGGGGGGCACTTTGGAATCCACTGTTAGGACTTCAGGAGCTGCTGCTGCCCAGGAAAATGGAGATCTCCTGATCAGAGACCCAGAGACAGATGCTGGGGGGCTAGGGCGAGACACGTCCTGCTCAGAGTCCAGGAAGGTGCAAGAATGGACACGGAGGGAGAGGATGTGCCCAGGAGTGGGAACCACCCAGGACAAGAACAGGGTTTCATGGCACAGAGTGCCCAAGGAGCTCTCAGCCCCTCAGGAGGAGGGCACAGGAGAGGGACCCAGTGAGCTGCATGCTACTCCAGGCCTGTCACAAGGCTGTGCTGACATCCAGGAGTGTCTCTGGGGGCACGAGAGGGCTCACGGAATCCATTGCTCCCTCTAATCTCTCTGTTGGAGAAACTTACAAATACTCAAACGGCCAGTCGAGGGGAACATGATTTGGTCTCAGGTTTAATTGAAGGACGCATGCAAGTGTGGAAATTTCCAAAGAAGAAAAATTCCTGGAGATGGTTTAATTTCCATTTTTTTCTAAAAAGAAGGATAAGCCATATATTTAAAATGGTAGATGAAGCATATTGCAAACAGATAATCTGTTCTTTCCCTTTCTGAGAAAGGATAGCTGACATCTGGGATTCCCTTGGCAGATAATAACATTAATGAACGTTTTCAAAGCACTAAATCTGAAAAGAGCTGTCCATGTGAGTGTCTGTCATTACAGGCGCTACGGCGGCTGCCATGGGTGGGATAGCACGCACAGAGTGCAGAGGGAAGGAGGCTGAGGACCCCAAGCAAGCAGCCCAGCAAACACTCAAGGGACCCCATTGATGTGCTGCATATGGGGTCAATCTCTAGAGTGACTGGACTTCATCTACCATGTGCCAGGATAGTCTTAGAGGACAGAAGACATGGACAGAGCCCTCCAAACTAGTAAGGACAACTAGAGTGACCATACAACGAACGCTGACCTCACCCTGTCTGCAGAGCACGTCCCAGTCTGGGAGGGGCGTGTTCCTGCACTGGTCCTAGTCCCATGGGACAGGTGTTGAGCTGGATCTGTGGGACCTTGGTGCTTTGGTGGATAGAACATGACTTGCTGCTCCTTCTCCCTGATTTTTACCATCTACTTTTGCATGAAGAGCTATGTTTTACACAGACTCAATTCTGGGAATAACCCGTGAAGCAGGTACTCTTACCACCTTATCTTCAGGTTAGGACATTGAGACCTAGATTAAATGGATTGCTTCGAGATCTCTTCCTGGACTGCCCGACTCAGGAACCTGCACTCTCCACCACCTCGCTAGACAGCAAACATGCTTGCACACAGTGCCTGAGGGTCTGGACTGAATGTGAATGTGACTTCCAGAAGAGGGGTGATCTTAACCCTCACTACCGGCCCTGACAGCTGGCTGTGGGTAGCCCCTCTCGGGGGCTTGACACTGGTGACTAAGCCAAAACTGACGTCAGAGTTCACACTTGGGAAATTCCAGAGGGGGGTTGCTGACCCTGCAGAGCCTCAGGCCAGGTCTGACTCCATTTCCTGCTCCACTCCTCCAAGACCCCTGGAAGCCCAGGTGGGGCAGAACACACTGCACCCTTTGCTTCCACCACCTCCCTCAGAAGCTGAAAGACCCCTGGAAAAAATCAGAGCATCGATATTTGTGTGTCCACAGGCAGAACATTCCAACCACCACTCAATGAGCGAGCACAGCACCAATGCAGGAGGCGATGCAGAGGGACTGTGTGGAAGAGGAGCTGCCGAGCTGGGGTCAAACCCAAGGAACGTGGAGAACAGCGGGTTCTGGCGACGGGGAGTTACGTGGGGTGGAAGGTCTGTGGACTCCTGTCTGCTCCACTCTGTGATTCGGCTTCCTCACCTGCCAAAAGGCCCCCACACCCCTGCATGTGGCAGCGAGGCCTCAGTGAGGACAATTTGGGGAAGGCCTGCACTCCATCTGCTCACAGTCGATGCACAAGGAACACCAGCAGGACGCTGGGGGTGGGGGATCAGAATGTTAGCAGACGGAGCAAGACGGGCTGATATTTCCACCATGCAAATAACACAAACAGCTGAATTGCTTTTTATTTGTTGACTGTCCTTGTTTGTGGAAGGGCCTTGTGAATCCAGACTTGAAGCCAACCCAGCTGGGCACTGAGTCTGCTGTTGCTTACTTTCACTGGTCACTAACTCCGCAGAGAAACGCAAGTGCAGAAATTCTGGGAGCCACCTGGGGGTCAGAAGGGTCTCAGTGGACTTCTTTGGAGTCCTTCAGGCCTTTATGTTAAGAAGAAATTGCTGCTGAGAAGACCCGAGGGAGCCCCAGTGACAGGAACTCAGGGATGGAGGAGGACCGCCCGAGCCCCCCCACTGGCCGTCTGCTTCTGGAAAGCCTCCCTGCTCCCCCCAGGTTACCCCAGGAGGCAGGAAGCCTGAGTCGGAAATCCAGTGTCTGCCCCGACAGTTAACTAGAAGACTCAGAGTTCAGAGGGCTGGCCACACCATTAAAACACAGGACAGTCACCACTTTGCCAAATCGTCACAGCAACCCTATAGGGTGAGCCTCTCTATCTTGCAGATGAGGACGTGGCAGGGGAGATGAAGTAGCAAGCCCACCATCACTGGAAATGCAGCAGCAGAGACAACCTCGGGCAGGTGCTACAGGCTGCCACGGCGGGTCACTTGTATTCCCTCTCCCTGTTCCCTCACTAGGATGGTCTCCAAGCTCTGACACTGGGAGCCAGCGTCCAAGGGAACTAGGAATCAGTCCTGAATTGGCAATTGCAGAGATTTGGCCTCTGAAGATACTAAGCATCGAGCCGGCCTTCTGGGAACTTACTGTCAGTGTTCCGCCCACGTGAAGAGGGGCTTGGGTGGCCAGGCAGGACGCACTGGCCCTTCTCTCTCAAGGTGAGGCTCCATGCCTCCCCCTCACACACACCCAATCAGAGAAGAAAATTGAGTGAGTCGCCCCTCTTACCCAGCCCTGAAGCCCATCTCGCTGCCCCAGAGGCCTGGGCCTCTGCTCTGCCCCCACCTCCACCTGGCCCCTCTCCTCTGTCCTCACCTGGGGTCCCTCCTCTGTTCCATAGCTCTGGCTGGAGTTTCCTCATCAGCTTCTGTACCCCGGTTGGCCCAGGCACATTGCCCACAAGCTCCATGTTTCTCATTCCAACACCTGTCAGAGAGCATCCTCCCCTACTGAAGTCCTCCAGTGGTGGCCAACAGCTGCAGAGAGAAGGGACTGCTCCCATCAGTGTCCTGAGAGCCCTTGGCCTGGGACCCTGCACCCCCAGCCTGTTCTCCTCTCACCCCACCCAGAGCAATGCCACGCTGCCCATCTCTGCAGGCCTCTGGGCTTTCTGTTTCCTCCCTTGTTCTCTCTCTGCCCAAAACAGTCTACCCACCCTCTTACCTGCCTGTGCCTCTCATCTGCCAGGTCCTCCTTGACCTTCAAGACTCAGCCAGGACATCACCCCAGCGAGAGCCCTCCCTGATTGTCATGTGCGGCCAGTGCTCCCCTACAGACTGGCAATGGCCCAAACTCCAGTCCAAGCTCCTGACCACAGTGGTGCCTCTGTGCCTGCCTGTGTCCCACACAAGACTTCGGCCTCCTGGAGCATGACTTCCAATCCAGCACTGTTGGCCAGTGGGGCTGCAGCACTGGGGCCCCCCTGTCCAGTGTCCTCTCCTGGGCTCTGGGGCTGCAGGGGTGGGACTCCTTGATCTGCACTGTCAGCAGGTGGTCTCAGATTCCCACCACTGGGGAAGACGATGCTGACCCAGCTCCGATGCCCTGGGTTTACACCAGGGTTTGGCTCAAAGTAATTTCTCACTGATGGACCATGAATAAGACGGAACCGAATTGTTAGTCTTCTGCAGAGCTTCGAATATTTACTCTGCTTGGCTGTGCCGGATCTTTGCCATTAAATAAATAAATAAGAGCCGCAGGTGGTTCCCCCACTGCCAGTTTTATCCCCCCATTCCCAGCTGAAGGGGAGGAGGGACGGTGGGGAGGTTTCTGGCGCCTGCTCCTGGTCCCTGTTACCCCTCTGTTCCAGGTGCCTGCAGACCTCCCCTCACAGAATCAAGAGGCGAAAACAGAAGGAGCACCGCAGACCCATTTAGGTTCATTTGAAAGGCTGACTCTTTAAAGAGCTGGGATCTGAGAAACAGAACATTGCTGGGTGACCACAGAGACAGCTCTGACTAATTATTGTTTGGCCAGCCTGAAACCACAGGGTCAGATGGAAAACATCTGTAATAAAATGATTGTTGCAACAAAGAGAAAGGAAATAGAGCTGGCTAAGAATCCATGTTACCCAGGACCCACTGTGTGCTGGCCATGGGCTCTGGGCTCAGCACATACTGTGTCACCTGCCCTTCCTTCTCCATGAAATCCCATCTCATAGAGGAGGAGACTGAGCCCAAGACATGTGACATACACAAGGAGCTGAAGGTGTGGTTCCGGCACCTGGGGCCTCTCCAGGGGCCCTGTCTGAGCTGGAGGGGGGCAGGGCGGGCTCTGGAGCAAAGGCTGCCATGAAAGGAGCTTGCTCAGGGGGCAGGAGGCCTGGGTTTTCTGCCTGCTCCACCTTGGCCCTGCTCCGGGACCACAAGCAATGCACTCTCCTTCTGTGGCTCTTTCTTGCTACGTTCAAGGTCAAGTGTTCCAGCTGAGTTCCCTGGAAGTCCTGAAGCACCACAGAGGCTGCCACCGGGCTCCAGGCAGACGAAGGAGGAGGATGCTGGCAAGTTCTCTCTGATTCATGCCCACGTGAGCCTCCTTTGGATTGTGCGTGGACTCCACGTGAATAATGAAGGAAACAGTAAACAAACCCAAACCCCATGGTGAGGGGTGCTCCAGGGTCTCCTCCCGCAACCAATGGCTGGGAGTTTTGTTGAACAATAGCAGCAAAACTGCCCTCTGTGGTGCCAGGTGTGTAGGGCTACACCCGGAGCTGACACCCTCCCATGGACTCCTGGAGCCAGAATCACAAATTCTCAAAGAGACTGTGGTCCTGCTCTGGTCACCGTGGTCCCTCGCAGGTGCATCACAGTTCACAAAGCTCCTTCACACACAGTCGTGTTGGAACGTGCTGACGGTTTCATCAGATGGAGGCCTTCGGGCCTTGGGAACGTCCCTTGCGATGGCCCCATGGTCTCACTGGCATCTAACCCCATGTCCTTGGAGGCCCAGAAAACGGTCCTTTGCCTGTAAAGGCAGTTCCAATGCTGCTTCCCTTGGGAAGCCCCTTGCCCTCCTTGGGCCACCTGCCCCTCTTCCTCTGGAGCCTTCAACTCTGTCACCCTGGTTCTGCACAGTCCAGGTCATGTTGAACTGAGTCGCCCTAGCTCCCCTACCCCTACACCTGAGGGAAAAGAGAACCAGGACACCTGAGGAGGAAAGGCCGGGGTTCCCAGCTTCTCACCAGCTGGGCTTGCCCCCTGATAAGCCATCAGAACTCACTAACGCCCCCCGCCATCTTGGTTCCCTGCCCCACAGGAGCGCCACCCTCGTGCTCCCCACAGAGCATGTAGATGGGGGCCTGCTGTGTTCCTGGGACTTCCCCAGGTATGAGGGACTCAGAGGTGAGCCGGAGCGTTAAGGAGCTTCCACCGTGCTGTGCCTGGCCAGAACAGTGCTCACACAGAATGGCCCATTCCTTTTGATCGTGTCTCTCCAAATCCCTGGGAAGAACAGGACTGTCTTGCTCATCTTCAGGCCCCAGCTCAGTGCATGGGGAATGTCTTGGATGGATGGGTCAGGGTGAGCAGACAGACACACATCACAAGCCAGGTTCCTTTCTTTGCCTCCATTTCTGGGTCAGAATCAGGATCTAGGACTAAGCCGTAAACACGTTCCCCAACATCATAGGTATTCTTCAGTGCTTTCACTACCTACGCTTGAGACAGGGTCACTGAAGAAGCCCTTTCTATGTGTGCATGAGTGTGTGTGTGTGTGTGTGTGTGTGCCTTCTCACACATACACTTACAGCCATTACCAGGTTATTTGCAAGATTTTGAAGAGTCACCTATGGTCAAGACTAAATAGAGTGACATACATTGTTGGTGGGACTGCACATGGGTGCAATCACTCTGGAAAGCAGTGTGGAGATTCCTCAGAAAACTTAGAATAGAACCACTTTTGACCCTGTTATCCCACTTCTTGGCATACATACACCCAAAGGACTTAAAATCAACAGACTACAATGACGCAGCCATATCAATGTTTATAGAGGCTCAATTCACCATATCTAAGTTATAGTACCAATTTAGGTGCCCTTCAACAGAGGAATGGATAAAGAAAATGTGCTTTATATACACATTTATGGCATGTTACTCAGCCATAAAAAATAGTGACTTTATAACTTTGGCTGGTAAGTGAATGGAACTGGAGACGATCATGCTAAGTGCAATAAGCCAATCCCCCAAAGCCAAAGGTCGGATGCTTTCTCTGATATGTGGATGCTAACTCACAATAGGGGGAAGGAGGGAAGAACAGAAATTCAGGGGCTTAAACAAAGAGGAATGAAGGAAGGGGAGATGGGACTAAGATTTACTTGAGTGAGATTTAGAAATGAAAATATGGCTTCCAAGACAAGGTGGTGTCAACACCAAGCTCAAAAACTGGGAAGCAGTTGCTGGGCACAGTGGCACACACCTGTAATGTCAGTGACCGGGAGGCTGAGGCTGCAGGATTGAGAGTTCAAAGCCAGCCTCGGACAAATCGAAGTGCTAAGCAACTCAGTGAGACCCTGTCTCCAAATAAAATATAAAATAGGGCTGGGGATGTGGCTCAGTGATCAAGTGCCCCTGAGTTCAATCCCTGGTACCCTCCCCTGCAAAAATTGGGCAGCACCCTCCAGAGTGACTAAAATGTAGAAGACAAAGTCACCTTGGGTCAGCAAGTCGAGGGGCGAGGGCGGCTGCCTCTCGGTCACAGGGGCTGGAGCACAGCCACTTTCCGTGTCTGGTTGCCTCTCCTACGCAGGCTGAACACACCGACCAGACCAGAGATGCCACCCCTACCTGTGTTTACCTGAGTCCACACTGGGACACTCCTGGCACCACTGCCTCTGGCTGGGAGTCACCCAAGTGCCCACTGCTGTAAAAGGAATGTGATAATGAACCTGGGATCGCCACATCGGCTTCTCAGGGTGCTGGAGAACATGGGCCCTTGCCACCCTGCAGCAGGGTCAGGAGGGAGCCTGGCCAGCACGGCACCCAGCAGGCGCCCAGTGCCAGACTGCACCCCTCCAACAAACAGCAGGAAGAGAAAACTAACCTGCGCTGACAGCGGTGGGGGGGTGTGGGGTCGGGCCTGGGGGCAGCCGGTGCCGTTGGGACGGGGAGGCTTCCGGGTGCGGGTCACCATCTGGACCTTGGTCTGTTTGCTGGCTGCTGCGTGTGATCCACTCACTCAGGAGCGTGTGCACGTAGGCCAGGTGCACCTCGCAGTACCTGTGCTTAGACTTATATTTTTATAACAAGAAAAGGAAGAAAGGAGGAAGGAAGAGAGGGAGGGAGGAGAGCAGAGAGAGAGTTCCGCCAAAGGAAGACCCAGCGCTGACTCTTCAATGGAAAGATGAGCTGAAGACCAGGGGAGGGCGTTCCGAAATGCAGAAAGACCACGGCTGCCAGCTAGAATTTCACACAGACAGTAGAAGTCTGTTTCCAAAATGAAGGTGACAAAATAAGTTGTAGAAAAAGACAAAATAGACAAAAAAAAACACACTCACACAAAATAGTTTTCTTCAGACAAGATGGAAACAATCCCCAGAGAGGAATAGGGAAATGCCGGAACGAAAGAACACGGCAAAGGCTAAAGATAAATGGATGTTGGCTGCGCAAAGCAAAGTTTAAGATGTTTTGTGGATTTTATGATGTATGTTGAATGGAAATTGCACAACACGGGAACGGAACAAATGATGGAGACAGTGCTGTAGGGCCGGGTGCGGCACCAGACACTAATTGATTGATTAATTGAAGAGGAGAGCTGGTGCGGCAGGGTGGCCTGCAGAAGCTTCTGTCTTTCTTTGCCTGCAGGAAAGAAGCATGTGTCCTGCTAAGAGTTGCCATGGCAAGTCCCAGGACGAACCAGCTGCCACATGACAGGCACTGTCAACCCGCAAGACCCAGCAAGGGTTTTATGGGCATGTTTCTCTTCTCAACCACCCAGAAGGGAGTGCGTTCACAGTTGGGGAAATGGCAGGCTGGAGGCACCAGGAGATTCTTGGCCAAGATCACAGAGCTGG